AACACCTGCATATCTAACAATAAATCCATTTCAAAATTCTGTGCTACAGCTCATTAGAATATATTCATCTTTCCACTTACTGTAGCTAAAAGTACCAAAAGGGCTTTATAAATGTACTCTTGATTTGTGATTTCAATTATTTACTAAAGGTAATTGACAATGAAAACAATAAATAAAAATGAAAGTGCATGCATTTGCTCAGACCATTTTAGATGATTATAGACAAAGTCAAGGACCAAAACCTTTGTCTTCCTTCTTTTAAGCTACATGACACTTTGTGAATCAGATGAAACTTGCAGTCTGAACAAATCTCTTCAGTTTTTTCATGTGTAAAGGAGAGTCTGTTAGGGCACAAATCTGTGGTTATTTCTCAAAATCAATTGCCTAACGATGGCTTTGTTCACTTTTTTTGTTGTTTATTATATGTTTGTAAGGGTGAACTCTTCATTTGTACAAACACCTTCAATGTTGAAGTACTTCAAAATTGTGCCTTCAAGACCTGAAATTTTGTGAGGTTTATGCTCTTAATTTGGTTCTGCTGTCTGTGTTAGTTTACAGCCAGCTTCCACCTTGCTGTGACTTACCATTGCTCAAGGCAAATGAACCTGTGCTTTTAGTGTTGTAAGTTGCCATACAAGCTTGAAGCAAGCTCCTTAACTATGTCTCCACAAATTTCTGACACGTAGAGAAAAAAGAAAAGTGATATGGCAGGAAAAAAACAAAAGTACAGATCAGTTGGAATTCAGCCATTCTGCGTGAATTAGCCAATATGAACATGAATCCTACTATCCTTTTATTACATGGTATGTGGATTGATCTATAGTATGAAGAGTCTATAAAATTCATGGAAAATATGTACAGTAGAAAAGTACGTTTCTTTTAAAATGCTTGCTCTGAAAAAAATGTATCCTTCAATTTCACTTTTTGTTTTACTTTTTGAACTCCCTACGTTATTCCTAGTGTTCATTCCTATTAGAAAATATTCCAATTATTACCTCACTAAATAAGTAGAAGCAGTTTACATTGAGAAGCAGTTTACATAAAATAACTCATGTCCACCATTCTTTGCAAATGTCTGGTTTCTTCCTAGCAGTAGCAATGAATATTAGCCTCATGATTGTCTTTTTTTAAATTCATAAAGAAATCGATATGCTCACTTCGTGCAGGGGGAAAAAAAAACTCTGAGGTCAATAGGGAAATATGTTTTCAAATTATTGGTACATAATGCATTAATACTATGATGATCTCTTATTAAAATTTTGGAAAATTAAGGTTGACTTTTAAAACATCAATGCAAAGGTCATATGGTATCTTGCCTTCATTCTTGAATCTGGCTTTTTAGGAATACATCTCTGGGTGATGGAAGAGTCCTTCCTCCAATGAGAAACGTATGGCTTCTGGCTTCTGCCTGACGCACCCACAGATTTGGTCACATTTGTAGAGTAAAGCAATGGACAGATATGAGATCATGCTGTTGATCTGTGTTCTATCTTGTCATTAAAATCAATTATATGAATACATACATTTAAAAAGTACTGATTAAAAGAAAAACTCAGTGGAGTGAAGTTCATTTTGGCCTCTAAATTTTGTAAACATGAAAACAACACAGGAATTTTTTACTGATCACAATTTTGGGAAATGCAGTGTATTTTAAATTATATTTTGTCATATTTTATTGACCTGTTATGAAAAGTCTGATTCATTTACATTTTTATTAGATTTAACAGCTATGAGCTCCCAAAATATCTGGGGAAAGACAGTAGGTCTAATAGGGGAACAGATCTTCCATCTGCTGGTTCGCTCCGTAAGTGGCTGCAACATTGGGAGCTGAGTCGTTCCCAAGTCAGGAGCCAAGAGATGCTTCCAAGTCTCGCTCTTCCTCTGCTGCTTCGCCAGGCCTTAAGCAGCAACCTAGATCAGTAGAGTACCGAAGATGTGAACCGGCTTTACGTAGAATGCCAGCAGTGCAGGCTGGGGCACATCTTAGAACACCATGCACACACCCAGTTTTATCTTTCCAGTTAGTGGCACATTTTTTTTTTACCTGAAAGCTGGTGCCATGACTTAAAACTAGGCACTTTTTCCTTTAAGGATAATGACATTGTACTAACCATACTCTAGGGCCCATTAATCTTACATTTTATGTATTGTTAAGCTATAGAAGTTACTAGTGCACTTATGAAATGGGACTCTCTCTGATGTGACAGTGTATATACTGTATCACCTACATTTTATCCACATGTAATGTCAATTTAATTTCTGTGTAACTAATTAAATCTTGTTCTTCCTTTTGAAATGTGCCCATTGGAAACAAATTTGACTTCAAATAGAATAGTAAGAGCAGTTGTTATTCTATAAATTTAGTAAATTTTATATTATTTATTTATTTATTTTATTGATTGCATTGCGTTATGTGACACAGTTTTATAGGCAATGGGATTCCCCCCCTGCCCAAACACCCCCCCCCCATGGTGGATTCCTCCACCTTGTTGCATAACCACAGTTCAAATTCAGTTGAGATTCTTTCATTGCAAGCATCTACCAAGCATAGCATCCAGCATCTTATTGTCCAGATAAGTTCAACGACTTCTTGGGGAGACCATCTCTGTTCAACGACTTCTTGGGGAGACCATCTCTGGTCTAAAGGTAGAGCCAACAGTGTATCATCCCAATCAATTAAAAGCCCCGACATAACATCAGTAACAACTTATAACGTTATAGAATTAATTGACATGGTATTGAGTAACCAATATGTTAAAAGAGAAAAAAAAAGTTCTGAACCACAAACTGTGACTTCTACATTGACATTATTAGTTTATATACAACTGGGTTCTATACACCTTAAAATGGCTATAGATTACTATTCAGCTGTCTCATGTCTATTTTCATTGTTGTATTTAGCAGTTTATAGCATTGAAGCATGATTTTGCAGAACCTGGCTGTTTTTCGGGTAGTCTAACTCTATAACTCTAACAAGACATATGTCAACAGTTTAGGTGAACAGTTTTAGGAGGGGTGTGCAGAGAAATCTTTAATACCCTAGTAAGGAGTAACTAATTTCTGTGTCCTACTCAGTGAGTTATAAGTGCATCCCCTCTGACCGCTTCCTGTCTGTTTCCAAGTTTTCCTTGTTGTTCTCTTTCTATTCTATTTTTGTTGTTGTTTATTTGTTTGTTTGTTTTTGAGGGGTTTCCAGAGTGATCCTGATGGTCATTACATGATGCCATTCCATGTTGGCAAAAATCCATCCAAGGGAGATGATAATATTGTATCATTTGTAGGCAAGAAAACTGAGTCTTAGAGTCTTACCTCTGCTATGTGTGAAATGGACACTCCAACTTTGATAATACTCACTGAGTATTAGGAATTAAAGCTAGTTTTTGCTACCTTTTCCTCTATGAATCATGACATTTGGAATAAATCTTCAAACTTTAAAATATATTATCATTATATAAGTTCCGAAGTCTTTTTGATTTAAACTTCACTTGAGTCTGTTTTCCCAGAAAGGGTCTAGTTCAACAAGTACTGACTATCTCTACATATCCCAGTAACTTCCCCAGGCCCAGTGGTTCATCATAATTTCCATTTGTTCTGCAGCTATATCAGGGTCACCTAGCCAATGAATTAAATAGCAATTGTAGCCTTCATTCTGTAAAGGCAATTAAAAGTCCAGGTTAGAACATGCACATATGTGCAGTTTCCAATTACTGATCAAGACCTGTTGGCATAACTAAAGTCAATTATGCATATGCATGCCCACACAAGCTAAGATTGCTAACACATTACAGGGACAAGGCAGATCTAGATTTGAGTCAGAAAATCACCATTAATGTGTGATGTAGGCAGCAATGAAAAGGAATAGGGGTTATATAATCTCCACTGCACCATTTGGTTAGTTACAGTATTTGTAAAAAACACACAACAGTTAATTTCCTTTCCAGAAGGATGAATTAGATGTAGGTGTTTTAAAGTCAAAGAGACAGTAGATCTTAAGTGCCTAGATCACAAAGGTATGTGTATTAGTTTGCTTAGGACTGCGTAAGAAAATATCATTGCATTTCTCATGGTTTCGTGAATTCAAGTCCACAACAACAGGGCAATCCGGATTGTAGGGGTGCACCCTCTTTCTCTTTAAACGATCATTTATTTTTATGCTCATCTTCAGGATTTTTTGTGCATGCAAATTTGCTCTCATAGGGAGAGTCAGAGTGCATTTGGGCCAATTTTCATGACGCCTTTTTGACCTCGATCACCTCTTTAGAAGTCCCGTCTCCAAATCACGTTACACATTACTCAGGGTTACAGATGCAACATAAAAATTCTGTGGGAGCACCATTAGACCTGGCGTTACATGTGGAAAATGTTTGGTTTAGATTTAGTTTGCTGAGAATGTGTGGTTTGTAATTCACATATCCCTTGTTACAAAACCCCTCACTGTTTGCTGAAGATTTTCTGAGTTACAAATCCACAATGAAAAGGAAAACCAAATTAAGGCAGTGTGAATGTGGCATTTCTTTTTGAATCCAAACATCATTAAAGTTGTGCATTTCCTATGAAATGATTATGAACGTTCTGTAACTGATTCTGCTGCCTCTAAGGCCCTTCAACCCTTGTGAAGCATCTGCAGGACAATTTTAAAACACAGTGTCTGGAGGGAGTCCAGTAAAGACAGACCTGTCTATCAACTTGACAATCATTGTTTAGAAATGACTTTTCAAAGTGTCATGCAATTTCTTCGTTTTTCACTTTAAAAAAATGAAATAAACTAATTTCCTCGCCACACTTTTGAAGGCATACTTTCATTCAGTGAATTTTCCATTTTAAAAACTTACAAAAGAAAATCATGTTTCTTTGCCTTCATGGTCTCAAGAATTCACAAAATTATAGTAGTGACCAGAAGTCATTCCTAATAACTTTGGACAACTAATAAGCATGAAAGCCAACATCTCCGCTAGGTCATCAGTTGTTCTTGTTTGGATCCAATGTTTTGATAATTGCAGGGATGAAGAGCCGGGAGACCAGCTGGTTACTGACAAGTTCCACGTTGACTGGGATTCTGTGCTCATCGACACAGATAACGTTATTGTGGCAAGATTTGATGGCAGAGGAAGCGGATTCCAGGGCCTGAAAATATTGCAGGAGATCCATCGGAAGCTGGGTTCAGTGGAAGTAAGAGACCAGATAGCAGCTGTGAAGTAAGTGGGTAAACATGTTTCTACTATTTTTTCCTGTAATTACAGAATCTATGTGTGTGACATTTAATGCTGCTTCTCCTGACTCAGAACTGCTGTTTGAGTGATTATCAGTTGGCTAGATTGTTTATTGTATTTTCCAAATTACCCTCAAGTTTAGTGCTATGATCAGTAGATTATCAGGTTTTCTTTGGAATTCCCTTTGGACTTATAAATATGGGTCTCAAATTATACCACTATGCTATTTGTTTGCAATAGTTTAAGAAAAATCCAATTCTTTTCCTCAGTTAGGTGCAATTGTAATAATTTCAAAGATATTATTGCCACAGTAAACTGAAAGAATGACCCAGCTAAGCTAGAAGGCCTTTTGCAAGAGTACATAGAAAAGAGAGGGAGTGCTGTTCAAATGTCAGTGTTGGCATGAAAGGTCAGGAGTGAGGCCAATATTTTGCTTTCATAATATGCTCTTAGGAGATAGTAAATTCCTGGACTATCCCTTTGAATAGTAAGATTTAGGAATATACTACCCTTCTACAGGAATATAACTATAGTCAATAGAGAATTTCTAATTGAACATTGTAATGTGAGTGCCAAAAATAAATCAACAAATGTTTCTGCCTCAAGAATGTGGAGCTAGAATTTCTTTCTTTCTCCTTGCAGATTTTTGCTGAAACAGCCATACATTGATCCCAAAAGATTAAGCATTTTTGGCAAGGTAAATAGTATAAGTATTAAGCCCATCTATGTATTTATTTTTCCACATATACACATTACACATATATTTTTATGTGTACATATATCATTGCATTCTTAATTATACTATAATATAATGTTTCTGTCCAGTCCAATAGTTTAATTACTGGTATGTGTATAGTCATTTGTCAATGAAATACTGTCTGGAACATCTTGTTGGTGATTAGTGTGAATATGACAGCAACAAAAATAAAAGGAGCCCTGTTTCCTTCCTCCTCCGTCCTTTTATCCTGTTGGCTCTTTTTCAGCTTTTTTCATCTTTCTGTAAGAAAGGATGAAGTTGGTAAACTAGTGCTATTTTCATGAATGAATTTTAATTAGGATTCAGAGAATTCATTTTAAAAATATATTCATGTAAAAGGCAGAGAGGGAGACACAAAGAAGGAAATGTTCCATCTCCTGGATTATTCTCCAACAGGGTGCAAGAGGGGGTTGGGCCAGGCTGAAGCCAGGGTCCAGGAACTGCATCCAGGGCTGCTACAAGGGTGGCATAGGCCAAAGTGCCTGGTGTTCATGGATACAAACGTATTTTCAGCTGATATGAAATAACTGGCCATTCTACCAAGGCATGCTTTTTAGTAGTGTACACTTATGGAAATGTACTGCTCAAAACATCCTTTTAACAAAGTAAAGTAAGCACAGAAAGTCGCTATTCTTCCACTTCAAACACCTACAGTGCCTTTGCTGAATGTTTTTTCCAGTAATACTCAATGGATCAATAAGAATATTTTAAAGTTAGTGCTCCTCAGCATGAATATTAATGAATAGATCAATAAAAAAAAACTCATCCATGGTGGTCAGGATGTTAGTTTAAAAATGAAATTGTCTGAGAAGGGGATCATTTCAAAAGTTGGAAACTCTAGATGGATTTAGAAATGCATCTGGTGAAAGAGACGATAGTACTGATGTTCTCTGAAGACACTGTGCTAAGGGGAATTCAGGGCAGGGACTCAGGACTGGAGCTCTCAACACTGCCACTCATGGCTTAATTACCAAAAAAAAAAAAAAAGCTGGGATTGGGAGCTGAACTAGGTATGGAAAGCTAGCACTCTGAGTTGGAGCGAGGTCATGTTCAGCAACAGCCCAAATGTCTACCCACAGATGATGCAGTGACATGATGCTTTTCCCTTGTGTGTGTTTGTCTTGTATTTTTTTCTTTTTTTTCTCTGTTCTTTCGTATAGGTATGTTTGTTTTGCTTTTCTTTCTCTAATTTTGGCTCAATCACGTATATCATTAATTGAATTAGCAAATCATTTCTTGAAAACAAGTTACGTATATACTCCTCGATTAGCATGCTGTTTGTGGGCTTTGCAATTTATGAAGAAAATCGATATGCACATTTGTGTGCACATCTTGTGTATTTTCATTTTGCTTTAACATATACCTAGGAATAGAAGCACTCGTCATAGATTAAGTGCCTGCTTATTTCTCCAAGGAATTGCCAAAGATTTTTTGTAAAACCTTTAAACATTTTATTTTTAAAAGCAACAGTTTATGAATGTTCCAGATGTGTTTCATCCGCATAGCTTTAACATTGTCAGCCTACTATTTAAACAGTTTTGAGCTGAATACAAATATTCATTGCTATTTTCATTTATAATTCACTGGTTTAGAAAATTGAGCATTTTACACATACTTATTATCATACTATATGCTTTTTATAACACAAAAAAATTTATTGTGTAAGCCAATTGTGCACCAGACACTGCCATGTCACATTTCCTAATCCAGAAGGCACATGTTCTGAGCACAAACTTACATGAATCCCTATTTTTTGTTGTTGTTGTTATTTGAGAGATCACTGACACAACATAAAAACAACTCATTATCTTGAGGTAAAACAGTTATTCCATATTGCTCTTTCTTTTTATACTTCTTTGGTCTCATTTCATGATCACCATTTATTTGTCATTTCTAGAAAAATAAGAGACTTTGATATGAATTGTACTGAAGCCATCAGTCAACTAGAACCAATGATAGTAATTTAGAAACTTTCATAGTATTTTTTATTTTTAATATATTTTTATTTTGATAATCTTACATAGTTGATTAGGGCACAAAGGGTCAAGGGTTACAGGATAGTAGGTAAGACCGTTGTTTCCATACTAATATCATTTTTTTCCTGTATCTGGAGTAAGGGGAGAAACAAAGGGAGAACCCCCACCCAGCCTCCACCCATTCCAGGTCCCTAAAGTGGGGCATGTGCTCCAAGGGTCCTGTTCAAGCAGTTTTGATACTCAGCAGTTCTGAATTGCTGCCAATCTTTCCATTCCATGCACAATGAAATCTCTTTCAAATCTACTGGCTAACATAGTCTCTTCATGGTTGGGGTTCTGAGATCAGCAGTTTAGTTGGAGGGATCTCCAAAGAAACTTCATCTGAGGTGATCCTGGACCTGATTCTTGTGTGTGCTTGCCAGTACAGGGTCCAACACCGTCCATCACCCCAATCAGCTTACGCACATGCTGGTAGTTGCAATTGCTGAGTCAGTTCTGTTTCCAGCCTTGTCTTTCATGAGAACCAATGGTTGTTGCAGTCCAGCCCGAGCCTGCCAACGTCATATTTGGCCCTCCTGCAAACCAGTGGGAACTGCAGCCTAGTCAGTGTGGCTCCCCATAACTCCCACCAAGCCTGCCCCCTACCCTGATTCCCATGCATGCCAGTGTGTACTGCAGATTTGTTCAATCTGTCCCTCATCCCATTTAGCTCTCATACTTGTCAAATGGCCATTGAAACTTAGTTCAACCCAACCTGCATTACTATCCAGCCCACACTTGTGCTGGCAGGTGCCTTTCTGTCTAGCCACCTCTGCCCCTGTCTTCGTTCTCATACTCTTCAGTGGAAGTGGTAACCCAAGAAGGAGGTGCCCACTATTTGCCTACTAGGTCACTCCCACTCCCTGTTTATGCACTCTCCAGGTGGTTCTGCTGTTTAACTTGACAGAATTAACCCCCAGTGTCAGCCTCTGCCAGCTGATGCTACAGCAAAGCCCAACCAACCCTCACTCATTCTAATGTTTGTTTGCACTAGTAGGAACAATCAGCCCAAGCTGGCTTTTCCCTGATCTAGCTCACATGAGGTCCACAGGTGTTGTAGCTCTGCCTGGTCTGGTCTGCCCTCATCCCAAACCAAGTTCTCCCGTGGGGGTGGCTGTCTAGCAGGGTAGCCCACATTCCCCCTGCTGGCTTTGCCCCATCCCTCCCTGTTCTCACGTGTGTTGGATGGGCATTGTGGCCACATCTGGTACAGCTCACCTCACCTTGGCATTCCATAATGTGCAGTGGTATGCGTTGCGACCGAACCTTGCCTGTCCCATATTCTGTTATGGTGTTTGGATTCACCAGGAGGTGATGTGAATTGGTTCAGCCTGGTCTGCCTCCAACCTATCCCAAATATATCCCAGTGGGTATTTTTATCTTGCCTGGTCAGGGTTGCTCCCTATCATGGTTCTTGTGCTTACCTGCAGGGACCGTGTCCTGCCAGAAGAGTTGCCCAGGCTCCTCCATCAGAACCTCTCCCATTGCCAGATATTGCACATACTGGTGGTCCCATGGGTCAGCCCTACTTAGGCCACATCATGTCCTGAAAGGAACCGTGGCCTCTCCTTGGTGGCCTTCAATCCACCTGGTTCTTACTGTTGGATGTTTAAGACTAGCCAAGGATCATCCATACCCAGGCACTGCTCACATATGACTCAGTAAAGGCAGAGATCTAGCCTTGTCCATCTTATATCCACCCAGGTTCTCCAGAGTCCCAGATGGTGCTGGAGTCTAGCCTGGTTAGATGTGTTCAGCCCCAGTTCACACTTGTGCCAAGGGAGATTGCAGCCATATCCAGACCAGAACACAGCCCCCACTCTGGCCCCCACACTCACCAGTGCGAACCCCAACCCAGCAAGGGTGCACTTTCACAGTTCCTCACCTGGATCTATTTCCTGCCCTAGATTACATGCCAGTGGTTGCTCTGACCCAGTTGGCTTAGCCCCTCACTTGTCTCAGCCTTTGCCTTTGATGCTGTGGCCTACTATTCCAGACTCATGCAGAGCAATCAGTGTAAAAGCCTAGCTTAGTGTGACCTGTGCTCCATCCTAATTTCTGTTCTTCCTTGTGAGCTAAGGTTTGCTCAGCCTTCCCCAGTCTGACCCCTTCCAGTTGCAGCTTGGCCCACCTCACATCCTGTTTTAGGATGCATATTCGGGTGCTGCTGCCTTGACCTGCCCAGACTGTTATCGGTTCCTTTACCCGTAAGTGGTGGCAGGTGGTAGCTCAGCCCATCACCACCCCAACTTGTAAGCTAACTAGTGGGACTTGTATTCACTATGAATTGTACTGAATCCGTCAGTCAACTAGGAAAATATGATAGTAATTTAGAGACTTTAATAGTTTTCAAAAATATTGTTATTTCATTTTGTGTTCTACAGTTTCTCCAAGATATGCTTAGTTACAGATATATTTACTATATTTAGCCAGTGTCCTTGTCTTTCACTGTATGTTTTTTTATTTCTTCCATCATTTTCAGGAAATCATAGCTACTCTTTACATTTATTAAATGAAGTCTTATAATAATATGATCTTATCTGACAATTAGAAATGACTAAACAATTACAATAACAAAAAATAACAAAAAAAGAGTCACATAAAACTTACACAATGCCCACACAATTAAAATGGACTATCAAATAATTTGATCAAATAAAATCTGTCCCTAATTGATGGTGATGCCAATATGAAAACCTCTAAATTTTTTACTCCAATGGATGAGTTATTTTTATAATTAAAATTACCATTTTTATGCAGCTACAACATACAGATCATCCTTGCCCTCTATAAATCTATAATTCCCTAGAATTCTTTAATGATTTTTTTGTACTTAGCGTGCAGTTATAAAAAGGTTAAGAGGAATGTGTGTGATAAAAATTCAGTTATTCTAATTCAATCCATTGTTAATTTTCTTTGAAGAGTAAATGTTATTTCTTTAAAAACATATCAAATTAAAGCAGCATTTGAATTTACTTTTTAAGTGACACAGAATGGATTGTATTCATTTTCATTCTTATTTGGCTTTATAGAGTATTCAGACAGATTAAATCTCAAAGGTACTTGATTTAAAAAATTAGCTATAACCCTTAAGTAGTAGTAGGAATTCTATTCCAGTTTAGGTAGAATCATATGATAAGGTGGATTCAATGCCCAGTCCCAAAAGATTTTGATTAAATTGCCTGAGGAGATTGGAGAGGCTTTGCATATGTTTGTTAAGCTTTATACTTCTAGGCATTCTAATTGAAATGTGGGAGGTATTTCTAGCAGGCATCTTTATTCTAGAATTATGCTGTGAGAGCTTGTTATTCAAGACATGTCCCAGCAAGCACAGGCATACCCCAAGTTTTTTCAAAAATGCAGTGTTTTTGCTTGGTTCAGTATCACAACATTTTTTGGGGTACCAGTTTGTTTCCTCACTGCTCCACTTCTGATTCAGCTCTCTGCTTATGGCCTGGGAAAACAGCAGAGGATGAGCCCAGTTCCCAGGTCCTTGATTTCATATCAGATTCCCAGAGGAAACTCCTGGCTCCTGGCTTTGGATCAGCTCATCCCTGACCCTGGCGATCATTTGAGGAGTGAACCAGCAGATGGAAGATCTTCTCTCAATCTCTCTCTCTCTTTAAAATCTGGCTTTGAAATATAAACACATGAATCTTTAAAAATAAAACATTCTCAAACATTTTCTTTAGTGTGTATGTTTAAGATATTTAAATGATATCCTGTGAATATATGTGACACATTGGAGTATCGCAAATCAATATATACATCATCTCACAAAATTATTACAATTTTCAAGTTTTAAAAATTTTCTTGACAAGAACATCTGAAATTTCTCTGGTATTTAAATTTAGTTCCATGCTCTCCATTTTCTGCAGGTCTAATGCTCCTCTAGTTATGCCTAGGAAATTATTTTCAAGTTAAGATAAATGGTTCTAAGATATTCCCTCTTCTGGTGACACTATGTGTATTTCCAGGAGATAATCCAGCTTTGAAAAAATATGTGAAGATAGTAACTTGGGCTATTTAAATATAACAGGCCATTCTTTGGATATCCAAGTTTAGGCTCTCTCAAAACAACCAGATTATAACCCAGAGTCTGATCCTGGTAGAACAGGAACCGGAACAATGACGCGCATCCCCCCAGAGGCACAAAGCATCCTTTACTTGGGGAGTAGTCTGCCTGTGGGAATCGGCTTGAGGACTACAGGCAGCAGCTCGCTGCTCTTCTCTCCGTCAGCTAGCAGCAACACACCATTGTAGACTCCTGGTCTACCTAACACCATCTCTAAAACACAACAGTGTGTGGGGAAGAATGGTCATTGAAACATTTTGAGAAAGGCACACTAAACAAGAATGAGGTTTATCCTGCATATGCCCAGATCATTTCATGGAGAGGTGGTTGGATGAGTGAGGCTAGAGGTAGTCCTGCAGTAGGAAAAACCCTCCTAGAGTTAGTTTTCTCCTGCCTCCAGAACTTTCTGTGCCTTCACTTTCTCAAAAGGTCCAGTTCGACACAACTTTTAGCTTTTTTTAAATTAATTAATTTATTTTTGTATTACAAAGTGAGATATACAGAGAGGAGGAGAGACAGAGAGGAAGATCTTCCATCCGATGATTCACTCCCCAAGTGGCTGCAATGGCCAGAGCTGAGCCAATCCGAAGCCGGGAGCCAGGAGCTCTTCCAGGTTTCCCACACGGATGCAGGGTCCCAAGACTTTGGGCCATCCTCGACTGCTTTCCTAAGCCACAAGCAGGGAGCTGGACCGAAAGTGGGGCTGCTGGGATTAGAACCATATGGGATCCTGGCGCATTCAAGGCAAGGACTTTAGCCAGTAGGCCACGGCTCCGGGCCCACAACCTTTATGTCTTAAAAGCATATTCTGGTTTCCTCTAGTCAGGGTTGAAAACAAGATCTATATTTGTGGTAAGATTTTAAACATATTTTATTCTTTGTAAACTCCATATAATCACTATCATTGAAGCACTTCATTTTAAAAATAAGAGCTTAATTAATTTTTTCCTAAAAATTAATGTCTGATTGAATGAGTACTGTATTTCCCTAGCTTCAATTTACTTGATTCAAAAATGAAGTTCAAGCAGTTCCCAGATATACAGCACACAGTCATGGGGAAACTATTCGACATTTGTAAATATATAATGAATTTTGTGTTTTACTTGAAACAACACATTGTATAAAAATATAACAAACTGTTCAAATTGTTCTGTGAATCTGGTTCTGGTGCAGTGTTTTTTATTCAAACTGCATTACATTGAGACTTTCTGGTGGGTATGTCATCCAAAAATATCTCCAGAGGTGTTATAATTCTTTTTTTGTCCTTTTCCGCCAGGGGTATGGTGGCTATATTGCATCGATGATCTTAAAATCAGACGAGAAGTTGTTTAAATGTGGAGCCGTGGTTGCACCCATCACAGACCTGAAACTGTACGGTAAGTAATTCTTAGATTAACCTAAGATTGCAGAGTGATTTGTACTAAATTACAGCTGAAGGCGCAGAGGCGCCATTGAGTTCACGCCGTATGTGTTGGGCTATTGTTGAGCTGCTTAGCACCTTCTAGATTCAGCTAATTTCACCGGAGTGTGTCCGCGGGGCTATTTATTGTTTAATTTATTCTTGGGGCTGCTTCCTCAAGTAGCCTGCCTCTTCCAGGCCCCTGGGGGTGGCTGTCCTGTCCCCCAGCCCACAGTGGGTAATTTAAGGGAGAGGTGCCCCTACACCTTGGGATGCTCTGTGTCCCCTGGGGTGGGTGAGGGTGGGTGTTAAATTATTGATCTGTGCAGTCTGCTTGTTGGCTGTGAAGGTAGGGGCGGGAGAACAGAGTCTCAAGCCTTTAATTTATTTCCTGGGGCTTGCTCACGACCCCCGCATGTGGACATCATGCTGGGGGTTCAGTTGCGAGTGGGAGATGTCTAAGATGCTATGTTTTATACAATATTAGAGTTTTGTAAAAAAAAAATATCTAAGTAATGAAATACGCTAATCAGATGCGTTTTAGTTCATGTCTAAATTTCTGTTTCTTCGGGGCACAGCTTCAGCTTTCTCTGAGCGATACCTTGGTCTGCCCTCGAAGGAAGAAAGCATGTACCAGGTAACTAAGTGAAGCAGAGTGCTAGTTTGTTCTAAGATTTTGGTTCCATTACTTTTAGAGATGTGCGGATACAGATATTTGTGTTTTTCTTTCATAGGCGACCAGTGTGTTGCATAATATTCACGGCTTAAAGGAGGAAAATATATTAATAATTCATGGTACTGCTGACAGTGAGTATGATGTTTTCTGCTGTTCTTTGATGCATTGGAACCAGTTACAAAGGGATACATCTGAGCACCTGCTTACAGGTGTCCCCGCAAGCCCTCTGGGAAAGAGAGCAGAAAGTGAAGCGAGGGATCCAGGGATCGTTTGCATCGTGGAGTGGGAAGAAAGAATTCAGGGCTCAAGCTTCTAATAAAACTCCCAGTTACATTGTGAATGCTTTCTTTGTGCTGTTCACGGAATAGATCACCTGTGGCCAGGCATAGTGGGACAGAGGACTCAGAACACTGATTTTAATTTAATTCTGTTCATTTTCATTTATTTTTATTTAAATGGCCAAAAAACCAATGTAGAACATAGAAAGGTAACTTTTTGGGTCAAAACAGAGAAGGAATTTTAGTTAAAGTCTATATTTTGGGGGCCCGGCGCGGTGGCGCAAGTGGTTAAGTCCTCGCCTTGCACGCCCGGGATCCCAAATGGGCGCCGGTTCTAATCCCGGCAGCCCCGCTTTCCATCCAGCTCCCTGCCTGTGGCCCGGGAAAGCAGTTGAGGACGGCCCAAAGCTTTGGGACCCTGCACCCGCGTGGGAGACCAGAAGAGGCTCCTGGCTTCGGACCGGCATAGTATCGGCCCGTTGCGGCTCACTTGGGGAGTGAAACATCGGATGGAAGATCTTCCTCTCTGTCTCTCCTCTCTGTATATCTGCCTTTCCAATGAAAAAATAATAAAAATAAATCTTTAAAAAAAAAAGTCTATATTTTGGTTAAGTAAAAATGAAAATATTTTTCCAGACCATCTCAAAGTATCTCTTATTTTCTTCCATTCTAAACATGGTAGTGGATAAAGCTGATAATACTAGTAATGACTAAACCATTTTAGAACATTCACAGGATTATTTGAAACTAAAAGAATTTATAAATTTCTTAAATCCCTTATTATATGTGAAACAGTAGGTTGTTTATTTAGACTCATTCATAGGCAAGAAGACTCAAGTTTAATAAAAAAAAAATAGATACGAGGTTATTTGTAAATGAAGCACAATGTTCTTAAATCAATGATTCATAGATGTTAAAAAAATTGTTAGTCTACTTTTTCTCAGTGTTTCTGATATTTTACAGAGAAAGTCACTAAAAGTCTTATAGCTATAGCCATATCCCTTCAAATCCAATCAAATTTCGAATGAATCAAGTCATGGTAGCATTAGAAATCACATCAGTACTGATTGATTTATTATCTTAATCATTCCACACAAATGAATATTGTAAAAACTCTGCATGTATTTGAAAAATGGTTATAGCAAAGTCAGCATCATCAGCATTTGTTCATTGTTGTCCACAACATTCTCAGGTACGTGTGTGTATTTAACACACACACACACACACACACACACACACACACACTCACACACACACACATACAGGTACATAAAATTCTTAAGAATAGAATAAATACCTGTGGATATCAGTTAGCTTTAGAGTGCTTTGTCAGGTTTCGTTTTAAATCTTTCTCAAAAATTTTTCAAATTTATATTTTTAACATATCACTATTTTTTTAAGATTTATTTATTTTTATTGGAAAGGCGGATATACAAAGAGGAAGAGAGACAGAGAGGAAGATCTTCCATCCAGTGGTTCACTCCCCAAGTGGCCACAGTGGCTGGAGCTGAACCAGTCTTAAGCAGGAAACCCAGAGCTTCTTCCAGGTCTCCCACGTGGGTGCAGTGTCCCAAAATTTTGGGCTGTCCTAGACTGCATCCCAGGCCACAGGCAGGGAGCTGGATGGGAAGCAGGGCCACCGGGACTAAAACCATATGGGATTTTGGGACATTCAAGGCAAGGACTTGAACTGCTACACTATTGCACCAGGCCCAACATATCACTATTTTAAATTTTACCGTAAATAAGTGACTTTAACATTTTCCTTTTATTATTGTTATAAGTATTTACTATGTTATAGTTAATGTATGGTTATACTCCATCTGTAACCTTTTTTTGCATTTTTTCTGTTGAATTCTTTATTGAGTTGAATATTAAGCTTTTGATTGTCATGTAATTTAAGATGTTATGTCAATAGAAAAACAACAAAAACCTGTTTAAATGTCCCAGTGGAATTGTTGCGTGAACTGTGGTAAAAGAGAGCTTAACACTTCTGAGGAATATTAAAACATTTCTCTAAAGTGTTAACACCGTTCATATAAGCCAGTAGTAACACTGATGACTAGCAGTTGCTATGTGTCAGAAAATGTGCTAAAACATGTCATATTAACTTGTTAATAAAAGTATGGTCCAGTGGATATACTTCTTATTTAACTGATGGAGAAAAGAAATACTAGGAAATTATATAACTTAAAAAAATGCATCATCTATTAATTAGAAGAAAGGAGATTGAAATCCAAGTACTGTTTGTTTATTTAGTGTACTCTGAATCATCAAGCAAATACTTGAATATATTCAGTGTTAAATTATTTTACATTTAGGAATATAGTAATGCTATGTGGAGTCTCTCTATCAATACATTGCAGGTATTAAGTTAAATCATGCTATTCCTGCCTTACTCATGGGTCCCAGGCCAGTAGTCAAAATGCAAACCAAACCTCAGCCCATCGCTGCAGAGGAAACACCTGCCAATGTGTAGGGACGTAGAGGGGAGCACAGCCCTGCTCAGACAGAAGCTGGCAAATGCCACACCCACAGGCACCTGGTGGAGTATAGGCTTCCAGATAATTCTTGCAAATGCTATAACTCTTGGCACTTTCTTCCAAAATTGCCAGCAAGTGAGTTCATTCACCTAATCAGACTTTGGAACTCAGTGTTTATTTACAGAAAGGGGACAAATGGCAAATATAAACAGGTTTTATACTAGAAAACAATAGGAAAAAGAACAGGTGTCTGGAGAATAAATTCATCCATTTATTTATTTTCGTATCAACAGAGAGAAATGATGGAATCTTTTCTGTTTCTTAATGCTAAACAAATGAGCTGTGTAGGGAATAATTTTATTTAACTCCTCTCTCTGGTTTATTACCATTTTTGATATCTCACATCTACATACAGAGCAATTTTATTTGCTTAGGGCTGATGTGCTAATTTTCCCATTAAGTACAATTGCAAAGATGTTGAAAAAGATTATGTGTATATTTTTAAGAACACTGAACAAATCATGAATCTTCTAGTGTGTGGTGTGAGCATTCAGCATGATCAATTTACAGCACTGATGATGTTTAAAGCATCGATAACCATGTCCTAGTTTCATAAAAATAGTTAAAAACGTTAGCTTTAAAAGTACTTAGAGAGGGCCTGGGTCAGTGGCTAAATTCTTATACTCACCAGAATCCCATGTGGGCGCTAGTTCGTATCCCAGCTGCCCCATTTCCCATCCAGCTCCTTGCTTGTGGCCTAGAAAGGCAGTCTAAAGCCTTGATCCCTGAATCCACGTGGGAGAACTGGGAGAAGATCCTGGCTCCTGGCTTCTGGCTTTAGATGGGCTCAGCTCCAGCTGTTGTAGTCACTTGAAGAGTGAACCAGGGGATGGAAGATCTTTTTGTCTATATCTCCTTCTCTGTGTAAATCTGCCTTTCCAATAAAAATTTAAAAATTAATCTTAAAAAACAAGTTTTTACAAAAATTGTAAGATGTTCAGACTGAAGAAATTAAGCATCCGATTATCCAAGCTGCACATTGGCAGCTTGCTGTGTAGCCAAGTCTTCAAAGCCCATGAGGCCAAAGTTGTCATCAAAACAAAGCTTTTGTAATATGTATTTCAATGTGTTAGAACTTAGATTCCACAGAAGAAAGATGCAAAGAAACAAATAATGGGTAACTCCGCGTTAAATATTTAATTCAAGTAAAGAGATGTGCACTGTAGTTCTCAATATTGGTTTTTTCTTTTATAATTTAAAATGACAAAACAGGAGGCCAGCATCCAACTGGGACTGGACTCCACAAATTGACAATAGAGCATAACTGTTCTGGTCTATGGTCATGCCACCCTGAATGTGCCCAATCTCATTTGATCTCCAAAGCTAAGCAGGGTCAGACCTGGTTAGTACTTGGATGGGAGACTGCCTGGGAATACCAGGTGCTGTAGATTTTTGCCCCAGCCCATGCCCTCCTGCTCCCTCCTTAAGAAAAAATAATAATAACAACTGCTTTAATGTATTCATATCCAGATAAGATATTTACAATGTTAATTTTTATTAAGTAAAAGTATGGGAGCAATTAGAAATAACACATGATGTCCACTGAAGTCAATATTAATACTGATCTGTACAGTTGATAAGATTTATTCATTAGCTCCCATGTAGATTTATTTATTTTTTTATGTGAATCTCAAAGTTTTATCATTTTATCTGATAGCTTTCTTGTCAAAGCCAGGTATCCATCCTTTAAATGGGTAGATGGTTATGAAGTTAACAACTTAATATGCTTGAAAAAAAATGCCAAGAAATGCTGACAGTAATCAGTGTAATATTTTAAACATATGAATTTCTTTTGCAGCAAAAGTTCATTTCCAGCATTCAGCAGAATTAATCAAGCACCTAATAAAAGCTGGAGTGAATTATACTATGCAGGTGAGCTGCTTTTCTCGGGGAACATGATTTCGCCTTAGTTCTTCACTTGTAGGGCACAGAACATAGCTTTATGTTAATCCATATTTTGTTTTCTTGGCCGTATTTCCCAGTCTGTGTTCTTTGTTCCTCATCACCCCACGAGCGTGGAGCCACTCATGAATTACCAGTAAAGTGCATAAAGCATTTCAAATATGCACTTTTCTCCTAAGGTTCCCACTCGTGTCATAAATGTCGAATAATTACAAAAGAACAATTTCTGTTTCTTCTCTCTTTCCTTTTTCCACTTTGCATCATTCCTGTTTTACTGTGAACAGAAGAGTTCCTAGGGAAATTTTTTTAGAGATGAGAAACTATGTGACTCTTGACATTATCACGTACATGTGTGCATTCACATAGTTAGTCATTTTATTATAATGACCAACTATTATCATTTTAGACTGTAAGGTAATGATCACAATATCGAGGTCCTTGTGCTAGAGCGGTGACAAGACGTGCCTTTTCCTATGAAGAAAATGTCAGTTGGCTAGAAGAGTCATGCAAAAATAGCCATAAAAATGTCTCAGTATTTGAAGGAATAAAAAGTTCAAGTTGTGTAAAACGAAAATACTGGATTGAGGATGACAGAAATCACGAAGGAATATATATATATATATATATATAAAAACAACAAATGTTGAGTCCCCAAAAAGCAGCATTGCCAAAGATGGGACTTGGCGTGGACAACAACGAAATACCATTGAAAGACCTTCCACCCAGAAATCGGTGCTTAACATTGTATTTTTACTTATATTTGAGGAGTATGTTTAAGGAAATATTGTTTTGGAAATGACAATGTCAAAGTAACAAAAAAAAATTTTTTTGGAACCCAGTAATGTTAAATGGGTAAGGAATATTCCAAGACCCTTCAACTTTGTTGAAGAAAAAAAGAAATGAAAGAAGAAGAATTATTGAGCAGCAGTATTTGCTGTTGGGGAAATAAATGATATTGTATCCCCATGACAAGGAGTATTTTTAGAACTTGGATCAGACCCCAATCTTCACACAGAGTGTAGCAGATCGCAGTGCTAAATTCTTGCATGGTTTTGTCTCAGTGAGAGGGTTCCTGCGTCCATTAGCATTGCACGTCTCAAATCATAAAAATGGCAAGAGACTGGGAGATGATTTATGAATATTTCAAAAGGCAGAAAAATCATACATGATGGCAACTTTTATGAAGTAAATACTCCAAGGAGAGCAGGGCTCAGCATCCTGTGGTCAAAAAGAAAAGCAACTTGCAAGTCGCCAAGCTCGGGAAAATATCAAGGTCTTCTTGGTCAACCCGTACATGGAAATGCCTGTTTTCTCTTGGCCAACAGAGCTTCACTACCAAAATGTGTTCTTCAAATCGTGATTTCCATGGTTATAATACTTTCAAAAAAGACATAAAGAACTAGGACTAGTACGAGGTGAGATTTAGGAGAGGTATTCTTTCCCAAAAGTCCTAGGCCACCAGGGCTAAAGGCATGAATGCCGAGGGAATAGTCGCTGCTTTGGTAACTCGAAATCTTCTTTCCTCATGTTGTCTCAGGTCTACCCAGATGAAGGGCACAATGTGTCTGAGAAAAGCAAGTATCATCTGTACAGCACACTGCTCAGATTCTTCAGTGATTGCTTAAAGGAAGAAATATCTGTGTTACCACAGGAACCAGAAGAAGATGAATAATGGACCCTATTTATACAGAACTGAAGGGGATGTTGAGGCTCAATGAAACCTAAGCAAGAGAATGTCATAATGTAGGGGCTCCGGGATTTCAAGGGCAGCTTAAGGAGATGACACTGGAACAGCACACTCAGAGACAATGAACTAGAATTTGAAAATGGAAACAATCCACATCTACTGTGATATCAAGGGTGCCAAACCTGTTTGTGTAAGGAAGGTCTGAGGGTTGGTTTCCTGGGAGAAATTAGTTTTACATTAAAGTAGGAGTAGTGCATGTTTTCTTCTGTTATCCCCCCCCCCCCGTTTGTTCTGTAACTAGTTGCTCTCATTTTAATTTCAATGGCCACCATCACCTTTGCATATGATGCACAACTGATGATCAGTACCATGGTCTCTGATCGTTGATGGCTGAGCTGCAATCTAACACTTTTCCTGTACCTTTACAATAAGTGCAATTCTTTCCTTGTCTATTATTATGCTTAAGAAAAGTATTCAGTTAATAAAAAAGCAGAGTATTTTATGTAATTTCCGTTTTTAAAAAGGCATCATGAAATGAATCAAAGGACCTGTAGAACTAATGTCAGCACCTTCCGAAGTTCAGCCAGTCATCAGTAGATATATCTGTAAGTCAGCGCACAAGTGTGTGTCTCGCAGCATATATAAACACGTGTGCATATGCAGTCAAGGGACTCTCTTTACTTGTTATCCATAGTACCAAGGGTAAACTTTCAATGAATTACAAGAGATGCTCTTTTACAGATTAGAACGGATGCTTTGTTTAATGAGCCAAAAATGATGAAACATTTTTTCCAATTCAGATTCTAGCTATTGCTTTCTTATAAATGCTTGGGTTGTGTTTCGTATTGTTTTTAGTGGTTAAGGTTTTCTAGTTGCAATTTAATTTTTTGAATATGATACCTTGTCACATGTAAATTAGATACTTAAATATTAAATTATAGTTTCGGATAAAGAAATTTTGTTAACGATGTGATGCCACTGAGTGCTATTTTGCTCTTTTGATGAAGAAAGTTTTTTCTTCTTTCTTTAAAACAAACAAACAAAAACAAAACACTTGGTCCTTTTATTTTTCTTAGTGTAGAATCAATTCTTGTTTTCATTGCAAAAGAGGAGACCTGGGTTATTTAATTTTCCAGTTCCTATTTGATGCTCTGTGCCTGCCCAATTCATGTTCCTGTTTAATTTAAATGCTTCTGCTGAGAATTAGAAATGCAGTTCTTTTTTCACTGGCCCAAACATCCACCACCAGTAGCATTTGCTGTTCAATGTGAATTGAAGACATAAAGTGCTTCAGTTCCTGTGCTTCTTGACTTGCAGGAGTAAGTAACTGAGGTTGTAAAGTAAACTTGATACGAAGTGAAAGTGACTGACAGACTGTCTTGTTACTGAGCATAAGGGATCTTTGAGAAGCTCTGAAAGTCAGTAACCAAACAACGTTCAAAAAAAAAATAGGCAAGATACTATGTTTTTCTGCTTTTTTTTTTTCCCAAAATGTCCTCTGGTTGATCTGGACTAATAAGAGAATGCCAAAAGGAAATTATAAAATGTCAAGCATTTGCTCAATTCCTTCTCATATCATTGAGGCATCACCTACGGATACTTGGTACTTGCAAATCTCGGGATCGTTGATTATTACCACTTCAGAGTGCTCTGGGATTGCTTCTGCACCATTCCACTGGATTCAATGTGAAATGGCATAGACTCTCCCTGTTGTAAGGCCAATTTTAGGTCTTCCAAGAAGAGTAAACTTACTCTTTTTTTTTTAAAAAAAAGTAAGATGTGATGTTTAAAAGCAACATTTGGCCTATTTTGTTAAGATGGAAATTTCATTTTAGGCTGATCTGAAGTTCAACTGAAGCTTTTTAATCAATATTTTTAATTTCAACCACGAGGGTTTTTTATGATGCAAATAATTATGTTGTCTGAAAGATGTGGTTTTATTGAATGTCTATTTGAGTAACATTGAAAAAGTATTTACCTTTTATTGTTCATCATTTCTCCTGTTTTATTATTATCAATGTTTATTTTTCAGTTAATTTAATACAGTTTTTAATGTGAAAGACATTTGCCTGGGACCCGATTTTACCCTAAAGGCTAAATACAACTAAAAATCAAATGAAAACTGCTTTGTAAGAAGGTAGATTTTCATATCTATGATTCTTTGAAGAATTAGGACACATTAGATTAAAGAAATGCCTTCTAATATGTGGTCACCAAATATGGAATGAAGCGTGTCACTGAAATTGTATATACTCACCCTCATTTTTATCACAACTGTTCACACATATTTATGCACAGCAAGATTTTTCTCAGGCTCCAAAATCTACCTTTCAATGTTGTTTTTTTTAAATAATGTTTCCTCACAGTTAAATAAGGTAAGGAAAAGCTATACAATAAACAGGTAAGCCATATTTAATCTTCCACATATATAAATGAATAATATTTTAAAAGCAGTTTTGCAAATGCATTTGTTTTATTTCGTTTTCATATTGTTTCTAGTGAAATGTTTCTAGTGAAATGTTTCTAGCCAAAAGATGGAGAAGACCATTTCTGGTGGAACTAAGGCAAGGGTTATACTCTTCCATACAGACTCACTGTTACTTCTGGTTAACTCAGAACTTATTGCTGAGCTTCTTTCGTGTGCTAGGCGTAGATTTCTTGCAAAGACTTAAATGTTGTTTGTTTGTGACCACATGAATAATGTGATCCATTGCAGCAAATAATAGTTTTTAAGCACAACTTCCTGGGCAGATTTGCACCCAAGTATTTTTTAATAAGACATTTTATTGTTACTATTTTTCTTTTTCATTTTTATCATTATTATAATTTAATAATGAAGTTCAAAAGGCCCAGGGATTTTCCTTACACCCATCCCCTAATTTCTTGTCTCCCCCCACAGAGATCCCCTATATTACTGCAATAGTATAATTCTTCATAAACAGTCATTAGTCCATCAATCTGGGCATGAACAATGGCAAAGAGTCAAGCATCCTATACTCAAGATAATATTTAACAGTTTCATTGGGAATCCATTGTTGAGGTGGAAGTAGAGATGCATACTGCATTGTATACCCACATCTGGATATGAGAGTCTCCATTACACGGTTATAATACATCTCCTTAAATATAAAGCCAAAAAACAAAATCAACAACATTAAGAAAAGTAGAAATTTACAACAGCATGAATTTAAATGTCATGCTACTGAATGAATAATGTGTCACTGAAGAAATAAAAATGGAAATCAAGAACCTTCTTGAAGAAAATGATGCTACTGTATGATCTATGAATCAGTGAGGAATTTAATGAGAAAAAATGTGCTTTGAAGAAATGAAACAAAAGCATCCAAATCTATGAGATATGGTTTCTGCGGATCCTTATTGGTGAGATGTGTCTCCTGTAGGAACTAAATAGATGGATTTATTTTTCTTAATCCAGTCTGCTAATCTATGACATTTGATTGATGGGTTAAGCCATTTACATTCAGGATTAATATAAATAGCTGGTAATTTGGTCCTGTCATTTTACAAATGGGTTGTTCATTGATTTAGTCTTCTGTTATTATTTTACTAGGATGTTCTTCACATTTGCCTTTGATTTTAGTGGGTGCTATTCCTTCTCTCTGCCAAGAGAACATCTTTAAGTATCATCTGTAGGGCAGGTTTGGGCGAGGCATCTTCCCTTAAATTTTCTGTGTTGTGGAAAAATTTTATTTTATTTGAAAAGACAACGGAAAGCTTTGCTGAGTGCATTATTCTGGGCCAACAGTGTAGAATCTGGAATATGTCGCTCCATTCTCTTCTGGCCTGTAGAGTTTGATGTGAAAGGTCTCCTGTGAGTGTAATTGTTATTCCTCTGTATGTCAATTGATTTTTTTCCCCATGAGCACATTTCAGGATCTTCTCCTTATGTTAGCATGATTATCATGGTGAAGATCATTTTTGGTCAGCCCTGTTAGATCTGTGCCACTCCAGGGTGTTGTTTCCCAATTCTTTCTCCAGATTAGGGATGTTGTCAGATTAGGGATGTTGTCATTTATTTCATTAAATACATTTTTAAATCCAGCTTCTCTTTCTGTGCCTTCTAGAACTCCCATAAACTTGATATTTGGCATTTTAATAGTATCTCTTAATTCTTGAATACTGCTTTTTTAGTTTGACCCAGCTCTGCTTTCAGCTTTTTTGATTGCTTCACCATTGTCATAAGAAATATCTTCCAATTTAAAAATTGACTTTTTCTTCATTCATTTTATTATTGAGACGTTTCACTGATTTTTTTTCTTTTTATTTCATATTATGAAATAGTTTCATAGACTCTGGGATTCTCCCAACCCCTCCTGATGCCCACCCCTCATTGTGGATTCCTCCACATTGTTGCCGTAATACAGTTCATATCCAGTCATGATTCCTTCATTGCGAGCATGTACCATGCATAGAGTCCATCATCATATTGTCCAGATAAATCCAACAATTTCATTGGGAGACCATCCTTGATCTGAAGCAAGAGCTGACAGAATATCCCCCCCAATGAAAAACCACAATACAACATCAACAACAATTTACAACATCATGGAGTTAATTGACATGTATTGAGTGACCAATGTGTTAGAAAATGCAAGTTCTTAATTGCATCCTGTGACTACTTCATTGATATTTCAATTTTAATTTATACACAACCGGCTGCTATACACCTTAAAATGGCTATAGGGTCCTACTATTCAGCTGTCTTGTGTCTATTTTCATTTTTATATTTAGCAGCTTATAGTATTGAAGTGTGATTTTTACTCAACTTGGCAAATTTTAGGATAGTCCAAACTGGCTTATAACACTAACAAGGCATATGTCAACAGTTGAGGCACAAAACAGTTTTAGGAAGGGTGTGCAGAGAAATCCTCAACAAGTTAGCGAGGAGTAATTACTTTTTGTGTCCTGCCTAGTAAGGTAATGTGAGTCCCCACTGACTGTTTCCTGTCTGTTCTAAGCTTTCCTTATTGAGACCTTCCACTGATTTTAACTTCGCTATATTGCATCCATCATTTCCAATAATTTAGTCTGATTGTGTTTCAGTGTTGCTATTTCCTCTAGGGCATACTCCTTAAATGCCTTGAACTACTGTATGTGCTTATTGTTGTTGATAAGAAGCTTTATAACAAGTGTTTTGGATTCTGTATCCCCCATCTTCTCAATGTCTTCCTCAGTTAACTCTGAGGTTGGCAAAGGGTTTGCTCCTTTGCAGGGGAGTCTTCAGTAATATTCACTGTGCCTCTGTTTCTTCTTTTGCTCTTGGTCATTGTACTTCTGGTTAGTAGGTTCTTCTCCTTGGGGCAGGTTTCTAAGATGCACAGGTCTACAATTGCATTTTACTTACTGTATTTGGCACACAGCTCTTTGTTTGCAGTCGTTTGTGCCACTCCCTTCAGTGAGTTCCAAGTCTGAGTTCTTACATTAGATTTCTACCATGGTCTGCATAGCTCCATCTCCTGGCTCACCACTCTTCACCTCCTGTGATACTGTGCTGAGGCTGCACTGTTGTCTATACAACCTTTCTCCCACTTCCCATTCAAGCAGTTCCTGGGATTAGCGAGACACTAGAGTCCCAAATAATTAGGTTGGTGGTGGTGCTGATGTTGCTGGAACCTACTGGACATTTGTTCTGTATGCCAACCAGACCTATTTTGACACTAGAATGCCAAAGTCGGTATTATTTTCCCTGTGTGACCATGCGATGCGTTGAGCTGGAAATGAGTTTGTGCCCACTTCAGTGCGTGTATGACTCGCCCTTGTTCCTCTAGTCTCAGTCTTTGCCACACTCTACAAAA